CCCCCCCCCCGATCCTGCCGGTCTGTTGTGCTATTCTGTTCACTCTGCCTGCCGCCGTGGCTGGTGCGCGGGCGCCGTGTCGGAAATCCTCTTAGCGGTGGCTAATAACTCGCGGGGCACAGCACAGCAGACGGCGCCACACCCTGCCCCGCCCCGCCACGCCTCGCCACTTGCCTCCTTAGTCTGCAGTTTGTCGGCAAGCCGGATTTAGCACCACACGTCCGATAACCTTCACGATTGGACCCCCCGTCCTCCCCTCCACCTTCCCTCCTTTTCCTAGACCCCTGTCAATCTGTGTGTGTATCCGCTTCTACAGCAGAGTCGGACGTCTCGACACACAACGAAAACCCCAGAATAACGAAAGGAACGAAACTAGAGAGTATAGAATTCGACCAAAATGCAGAGCGATGGCAGGTAAAACAAAGAGGGCTAAAGCACTTCTCGAAGGTGCTGAAACGTTGATGGATCGCTCAGAGTTTCACTCATCTGCAAGTAAGTCAAATTCATGAACATTAGATTGATGGGGGCACAAACCTTTGTAATTGACACTAAAATTTGGACCAATTCGCTGGCTACCATTAGCTCAGTCTGTCTGCCTCGCCTAGGGGAGAGAGCAGGCTTAATCCCCCTCCAGCGATTTGCAAAGAGCCGCTCGCCAAATGGCCATACTCTCATTGTGTGAAGACCCCTCCCCCCCTCCCCCCTTTGTGACGGTAGCGACAGACACGCTGGTTTTGCTCATCCTGGCAACACACACACACAGACACACAAACAAATGGAGCAGGGGGAGGGGAAGGTCAGCTGATAGTGCCACAGAGACATGGTGCGGATAGTTGGGGTGGGTTAGGCAGGGGCAGGGTGCGAGCAATGGGCAATGGAAGAGGTGGTGGCTTCGCTGTGTTTTATAAAAGATGATTGTGTAGTCAGATAAAGATTTCGTTACCGTTTCCTTTTGCTTGGTAAAAAGGTATAACAAAAAGATACAACACATTAGCTTGTTTGTAAAACAGCTCCGTTATTTATCTGTTAATCTCCCCAAAGATACGTTATTAAGGTGAAACCTGAGATTTCGAAGGTATTTTGGTTCCAAAATGCGAAACGAGTGGTTCAAACACACCACCCAGCCAGAACTCACGTGTAACTCTTTTCTTTTACCAATAATGGTTGCAAATCTCGTACTTCCTCTTTTATCTTTCACTCCATTGATTTGTCAAGAGTGGTTCAGACCAGAGGTAGTGGAATCGCACCCCCTCATTTCTCTGCTTTTGCTTTTCCAAATTATACGGCATACTCTCTTCTTTCAGACAAGCAAAATGCAACACTTTTTTTGCAGTGCTTCCAGATATGATTTATATTTTTGGAGCCGCCGCGCCACGTGCACAGACAGGACAGACCCCCGGCTAGCAAACCATCGTCAATCACAACATGGAGCAAAGCAATAAAAACAGTTTAGCGCGGTTTAGCGTTTGTTTGCGGTGGTTGTCTTCAACGGCACCCGGCCAACAGCACTTCAATGTCAAATCTCTTCGTATACTACAAAAAATTTACTTAGCAGTCGTCGCAAAGCATTGATGGCAGCACACAGCATTTCAGGGAATTGAAAAGAAACTGTTTAGCAGTCTACAACACCCTTGATAGTTTGCAGAGCCTGAGCGTGTTCAGAAGAACGCCTGCAGCTACGCTGCTGCTGCTGCCGCGGCTCCGCCCCGCTTCTAGCTGCTCCGCGTGATAAGCCCTTCCTCTCGCAGATTCCGCGAGTGCGCTCGTTCGTACACGCCACAGCAACAGCAACAGAAGCAGAGACGACAGCGACAGCGGTTCGATTTCACGTCGCGACCGGCAGAAAACGCCCCTTCCCGCCCTCCACCCTCCCCCCTTTCGCGCGAGACGCACGTGGGGAGGATCCACACACACACCGCATTTCCTGCGCGTCGCGACGACGGACGACGACGCCGGCGGCGGGGCGTCGCGACGCCTCGGGGGACCCAGTCGCGTGGCTTTCACCCGGCGGGGACCGCGGAGCAGAGCGGCAAACGGCAGCAGCAGCACCGCCGGGGAAAGCCAACGCAGGGGAGGAGGGAGGACATCCCCGCGGCATCAATGCTGCATCAATGCCAGCCACTCCAGGCTGCGAGGCGGAGGTGTTGTTAGTTGACTAGAGCCTCGTTCTTTTTGTTTGACTCACGCCCCCCTTCTCCCCCCTTAGCTCTCTCACACACACACACTTCACTCACACCGCAACCGAGGCAGGAAATTGTCCAGTTGATACGCAAACGCTCGCGTGCTGCTGTGTGTGTGTGAGCGCGCGCTATATACGCAGTCTCATGAATATGACCCGATAGTGTTGCCGTGGCAACGGCGTAAATAAATAGTTTCCGGTGGCGTCGTCGCTCCGCTCCTGTATACGACTATAGAGCGCTCGCTGCGGTGCTATGGGATGGGATGGTTCAGATCCCACGCGGCTGATATACGGCGGGGAGAGGAGAAAGGGGGG